CCACATGCTGGCCTCTGGTAGGCAACATTCAGAATCCCCCCGCGACCCCGATTAGCCCTGTGGGATTCTTCTCCGTGGGACTTGGCTCATCGTGAGCGGAAGAGGCAGTTCAAAACCGACAGGAAGTTCTACGGCCTCTGGGGCCCGTTCTCGGGCCCTCGGGCCCGGGGGCCATCAAAAATTGATCTGGGACGAACATTTGCCCCCTGGGTAAGGGGCCGGGGCTTCTGGGGCCGCGGATCGAGAAACTCATATAGGAGGATGTCTGGGGCCGCCAGGGGACGAGCCGCGAGTAGGCACTGCCCTTGGGGGGCTGGGGCCCCCGGGCTCCAGGGCTCTTCGTTCGGCTGAGCGCAAGACCCTGAGATCCTGGTGGCTCCATTTTGTCGAGCTGGGCGTGCTCGCTCCATCTCGGGCCCCAGAGCCCTCACAGATCGATGCAGCTTTAGAAACGATGCAGAAAAATTGTGTCTGGGGGTCCGGTTGTGATGTTTTGCGATGTTGCATTTTTCGGCAACGTCGGATCTCAAGGTCCTGGGGTCCGGAGCTCAGATCCTGGCGAGTCAAATCTTGACGCTTCGCATATCCGCACCAGTTTGTCTTCGCGTATCCGCACCAGTCAAATCTTGACGCTTCGCTGTGCATGTGCAACTGCGAGTTTGTCTTGCGGGTGCGAGCATTGTCCGTCGACACTGGCGGCTTTGTTTGCAAATTCGCCTCGTACCTCAACCCGGACGCCGCTTCCGCTTCGAGACCGTTGCCTCGGAGCCGCCGACCAAAAAAAAATGTATCCGCACCAGCCCATCCAGGCACAGATCGCCCAGCGAGTTGCCATGATGAGGGGAGTGTAGGAGCATGCAGTGCAACAGCCGCCTTGGAATTTTTTTCTTGGATGTTTCTCTTGGGGTCCTTGCGGAGCCACTTTTGGCACTCTTGGGGCCCTCTTGGGGCTTTCTTGGGGGGTCTAGGGGCCCTCCTGGGGCTTTTTGGGTGTGCGGGGAGGCCTTTTGAGGCAATTTTGGGCACGCCGTTCCAAACAAAGGGGGGTTCTCAATTCAGGTCCCCCACATCGGAGGCTCAAGAATGGTTTCTTGGGGTCGTCCACGGGCGCTCTTGGGGTGCTCTTGGGCGCTTTCGGGGTCCTCTTGGGGCACTCTTGGGACCCTCTTGGGGCTCTCTTGGCTCGTCTTGGGGCCATCGTATGGCCTCAAGAGCCCATCGGAAGCGAAAAGGCGAAATGCCCCTTCGGTTTTTGGGCCATGTTGGCCTCTGGGAGGGGTCCTTGGAGGACTCGGAAACCGTCTTGGGGCCGTCTTGAGTCCTCTTGGATGTTTGTCGGGGGCTACCTAAAGCCATCTTGAGGTGTCTTGATCCATCTGCGAGGCCATCGTGGGTTCTTTGAGATCCTTTTGGAGCCATCTGGGGTGATCTCGGTGGCTCTAGCGCCTCGCCCCCCCCCCCCCCCTCGGAGGCGGCCCAGGGGAGGGGGTGCGGGGAAGGGTCAATACACCTTTCTAGATAGCAAACCGTCTAGCTCACTCCCCCGAACACATAAGTAACACTCGAGCCTCAGCATGTTCAGCGTTCGTCTTTGGATTGGCAGCTATTCTGAACCAACACCGATCCCATGTGCGCGACGCTGGGGCCCGAGCGTGCCAGGCACGTCTGGTGCACCAGATGCGCCACGTGTTCCGCGTGCGCCAGGTGTGCTGCACACTCCAGCCGCGCCAGGTGCGCCACGTTTGGGACGCGTGCAGAGTGTGTCAGGTGCGCCTGCACACGTGACAGCACACATCGGCAGACATGTTGGCCGTCACCATCGCTGTCGACAAGCACTGCCCATCATTGTGTCTAGTGGGCCTGTGCGCAGCAAACCATACGCCACCACCCCCGCCGTCCCTGTCAAAAACAAGCTCGCAATGATCGCGGGGTTAGTGCGCATGATCTAGGTTTATCCGCGAGGTTATTGCTTTTTGATAGGGGCGGTGGCCGTGCGCACAGCAGACCCCATGCTGACCTTCCCGCGGTCCCTGTCAGAAAACATGCAAAGTGCTCGCGGGCCTCACGAAGATGATTCAAGAGTTTGCCCAAGGTGTACTTTGTCTTGTTTTTTTGGCAGGGATGCTTGGGGAGGGCGCATGGGGTTGGTTGCGCATGCTCCGAGTGTGGAGGCAGTGCAGAGTGTGCTTTGTTTTGTTTTTGACAGGGATGGTGTGGGTGGGTGATCATGGTGTCATCATTGTCTGGTTGGCTGCAGGTCGCCTGGGGGAGGGGGTGTATACTAACTAATATGGAACAGTGATAACAAAAACCCTTCCCCCGAGCAGGGGAAGGAGGAGTTTTGGCAGACCTGGCAGAGAGAAGACCCAAATCCGCCAAACCACTTACGCCCAGAGGTCTGGTTGGGTTTGTTCGAACTGGACGTTTTCGTTTAACTTCGGACCCTGGGACCCTCACATATCGATCTGGCTCGAATCATGTTGCAGAAAGAAGGGGTCTAGGGGTCCGGGCGTGATCCCCGCGATGCCGCATTTTTTGGGCAACGTCGGTTCGGAGGGTGTGGTG